ACACGGCAGGGAAAGTGGCCGTGGATCCTGTTCGTCACCCGATCCGACATTCACGAACGGAAGCAAAATTTTGCAAACGGTGCTGTTCGTGACCCGAATTGGTCGTGAACAGAAGCGTTCGTGACCCGAGGTACCACTGTAGTTTGTTTCTATTATTCTGGTTTACTTATTATTTAATAATAATAATATTTCTTATTTCATAATTACTTATTTAATATTAAGATATAAATTTCCTGAAGAAATCTGTTTCAATGTTATTCTTTATTATTATCTTTTTCTTTCATTTATATCCCACTTTATATTTTGCCTTTCCTCTGAGATGCAGATTCCTAACTTTCTATTTTATGTATACTGCTAAATTATTAAAAGTTTTTGAGAACTGGGTGTTGGCAAAACAATGCTTGTAGACCTCATGGCACACTTTACCTGTCCTTTTTAGAAAAGAACTAATGGCTGAAATTTTGTGAGTTTGTCAAGTCTCAGGAGATGTTAGCAAAACCTGAAACCTTGTGAAATTTTGGGTTGGATTGCACATTGCAAGATTTGATATGATATTTGACTGCTTCCTAGATAAGTCCATGCAGCTTTCTTGGCAACATCTTTGGAAGTGGTTTGCTATTGCCTTCTTCCTGGAGCTAAGAGAAAGTGACTGGGCCAAACTCACCGAGCTGGTTTCATGCTGAAGGCAGAACTAGAACCCACAATCTCTCAGTTTCTAGCCTGGTTTCTTAACTACTACACCATACCGGTTCTCATATACTGTATACTACCTGTACTATCTTCATGAACCACAGGTTGGGAACCATTGGTTTAGTTAAGAGAAAAGGATGGCATATATAGGATCAGCAATCGTGTGAGGTAAGCTGGGCTGAGACGTAATAGCTTGCACAAAGTCATCCAATAAGCTCCTAAGTGAAGTGGAAACTTGAACCTGGGTCTTATTGGTCCCAATCAAACACTTTAATCACAATGGCATAGCTACAACTACATTGTTGATTTAGGATGCAATTTATTTCACTTCGGATGTTTTTTAAAAATATTCTTTGTCTCTATTGTTATTCTCAGCAAACTGCTCTTCACTGGAGTGCCTATTACAATAATCCAGAGCATGTGAAACTTCTTATCAAACATGATTCTAACATTGGAATCCCAGACATTGAAGGCAGAATTCCACTTCATTGGGCAGCTAACCACAAGGATCCCAGTGCAATTCATACTGTCAAATGCATTTTGGTAAGATTTTTTTCTCAATGTTAGTCATATAGTACACCAAAGAGAGTATGTAAAATTCTACTTTATTGTGCAGTAATATCCCATTTAGAATATTGAATCTTCTTCTGAATCTCTTCTTTTAAAATAAGATGTAAAAAGAAAAGAAAGGAAAAGAAAAGAAAAGAAAAGAAAAGAGTAGCCAAAATAGTTAATGGTTTGGCTTTCTTATGGAGTGAGAGAAAAGACTAAATGGCTGTCACATTCTCCCACAGTTTGGGACTACACACACACACACACACACACACACACACACACACA